TTTCTGTTTTTTTCATCTTTTTTTTTTTTTTATTTTCTTTGGCTCATTTTTTCTTTTTTTTTTTTCTTCTTTTTGTTCTTTTTTTTTTCTTTTTTTTTTTTTTTTTTTTTTTTCCTTTTCAGCTTTTTTCCTTGCTAATTTCTGTTTTTCTTTTTTTTTTTTTTCTTTTCGGGGAGCATTTTTTTTGTTTATCTTCTCTTTTCGGTTTTTTTTTTTCTTTTTTCTTTTTTTTATTTTTTCATTTTTTATTTTTTTTTCTTTCTTTTTTTTTTTTACCTTTTTTATTTTTTTTCATTTTTTTTTTTTCTTTTTTTCTTCTTTTTTTTTCACGTTCTTTCTTCTTTTTTTTTCCTTCTCTATTTTTTCTTTCATTTTTTCTTTTCCTTCTTTCTTTTCTCCTTTTTTTTTTTTTTTTTTTTTTTTTTTTTTCTTTTTTTTCTTTTTTCCTTTTTTTTTTTATTTCATTTTTTTTTTCGGTTTTTTTTTCTTCTTTTTTTTCTTTTTTTTTTTCTTTTTTTTATTTGTTCTTCTTCTTTTTCTTTTTTTTTCCTTTTTTTTTTTTTTTTTTTTTCATTTTTTTTTCTTTTCACTCTTAACTTATTTGTTTTTTTTCTTGTTTCTTTTTTTTTTTTTTCTTTTTTTCTTTCTTCATTCTTTTTTTTTTTTTTCTTCTTTTTCTCTTTTTTTTTTTTTCATTTTTCTTTTTTTTTTTTTTTTTTTTTTTTTTTTTCTTTCTTTTTTTTTTTTTCTTTTTTTCCCTCCTTTTTTTTTCTTTTTTTTTTTTTTCTTTTTTTTCTTTTCTTTTTTTTTTTTTTTTTTCTTTTTTTCTTTTTTTTTTTTTCTTTCTCTTTTTTTCTTTTTTTACATTCTGTCGCTAGTGGTTGTCTTTTTTTTTTGACGCGCCTTCGGGTATCCCCTTTTTCCTCAGGATCCTTTTATTTTTTTTTTTTTTTTTTTTTTTTTTAGTTTTTCGGCTTTTCGTTCCCCGCTTTTGTTTCTTATTTTTTTAGATCGCTCTTTCCCGGTTTTGTTTTTCATGCTTTTTTTCCCATTCTTTCGACGCTTCTTTTGGCGCCCTCTTCAACGCGTTGACCGTCGGTTTTTTTTTGGCTGTTCCTTCTCGACTTTTTTATTTGCATTTTTTTTTTTTCGCACTTTGTTCTTTTTTTTTCTAGGCAATTTTACTGCTGCTGCTACTCATCTCTTCTGTTCTTGTTTTTTTTTTTTTCTCTTTTCTTTTTTCACCCCCGTCTCTACTTTCCCTATTTTTTGGAGATTCTTTGCTGCGTTGCTCTAGTATTTCCTTTCTTACTTTTTTTAGTTTTTCTTTTTACTACTTGTGTTTTTTTTCTCTTCATATTGTTTTTTCTTCCCTTGTTCCTTCGTCCTCTTTATGTTTCCCCATTTTACTTTTTTTTTTTTCTTCTCCCGCGTCTCCGTTTTTTCATTTTTGGGTTCTCCACCATTTTTTTTTTCCCGCCTTCGACCCCCTCGCCCCTGTCCCTATGCAACCGCCGCTGTCTACATTGGCCCATTGACATTTTTCTCACTCTCTGGCAGCGCTCCCTCTTCTGTGTTGTTTTTTCATCCGCCCCCTCTTTTGGTCTTTTTTTGTTTTTCACCGATCGCAAACATTCACATCCCGGGGTTCTTTTTTTACTGCGTCCTTCACGCCACTTTTTTTGTTTTTGTTTTTTACGTTTTTTTTAGTCGCTTTTTTCCGTTCGCACCCCTTGCCCTCAGCACTTCGTTTTAACATGGTTTCTTCAGCCTTTTTTTCCGCTTTTTAGTCGCCCTTTTTCTTTTAGTTTTTTTTTTTTTTTTTTTTTTTTTTTTTTGATCCTTCTTGCAGGCTGTTGTTTGTTTTCTTTCCTCCGGTTCGCTTTTTTTCACCCGTCCCATCCGCTTTTCCTCGACCTTTGTACCCCTTTTTATATTTCTTCAAAGTGTTTTTTTACACCTACCCCTGCCCTTTTTTCCCCTTTTTTTGTGAGGTTCTTTTTGCCCCTCTTTTTTCTTTGTTTTTTTTTTCTTTCTCCTGTCGGTGCTTTGCGTGTTCTATTTTTGCCCCGTCCTGGGGCATCTTCCTTTTTGCTTTTTTTTTGTTTTAGCCCTTGAGCTTTTTTTTTTTTTTTTTTCCTTTCTCCGCTTTTTCGTCATGCTCTTTTTCCTCCTTTTTTCCGCCCTTTTTTTTTGTCCCCCAGGCTACCCTCACTTTTTTTTTTGTTGTTCTCCCCATTTTTGGGCGCGGGCCCCGCCTTATTTTCGTCCCCCCGCGCCCTGCTATTTTTTTTTTTTTTTGTGTTGTTTCCATTCGAAGCCTCTTTCTTTTGTCCCTCTTTTTTTTCCCCGCCCCTCCTCGAGGTCGTTTTGTTGTTCTTTTTTCCCACGGCCTCCTTCCTTTTTTGTTACTTTTTGTCTTTTTTTCTTTTGCGCTTTTCATTTTTTCCTTTCTTCACCGCTTTCATTTTTTCGGAGATTTTTTTTTTTTTTTTTTTTTTTTTTTTTTTTTTTTTTTTTTTTTTTTTTTTTATTCTTTTTGCTTTTTATTTTTTTTTTTACGGTTATCTTTTTTTTTAGCTTTTGTTCCAACATGCAGGTCAATTTTCTATTTTGGCGGCCTTTTTTTTTTTGAGCTTTTTTTTTCATCAAATTCCTCCCTTTGCCCCCCCCGGTTTTTTCCGTTCTATGCCATTCGTTGTTTTATTCTTGCCTGTTTTTTGTTTTTTTCTTTTTTTTTTTTTTTCTTTTACTTGCCGGCCTTTTTTTTTTTTTTCTGTTTCCCGTTTTTTTTTTTTTTTTTTTTTCTTGTGTCATTGACCCTGTTTTGTCGGTCGGCGTCTTCTCCCTTTGATGCATTTTTCATCTCTTCTTTCCTCCCCCGTTTTTTTCCATTTTGTATTCGTCTTTTTTCTTCGTCAATGTTTTTTTTTTTACCCCTTATCCAGCCCTTTTTTTTTTTTTTTTTCTTTTTTCCTCTCATAGTCTTTCCAGCGTTCGTCCTCTCGCCTTTTCACCCCCACCCGTGCGTCTCGTATGCTGGTTCGTATCTTTCTTTTTTTTTTCTTTTTCGGCTTTTTTTTTTTTTTTGCTCGCTCGCCGCTTCTTTCCCCTGTTTTGACATTTTCTCTTTTTTGTCGGCCCCCGCCTCTTACTCCGCCCCCTTCCTTCTCCTTTTTTATTTTTATTTTTTTGCGACCCTTTGTTTTTTTCCCATCGGGGCTTTTTTTTTTTTGTCTTTTTTGTCCGCCGGTTTTTTTTTTTTTACGTGTCTTCCCGTTCATCCTTAAATTACTTTTTTTTTTTTTTTTTTTTTTTTCCCCTCCTTCCACCTGTGACTCCATGCTTTCGGACGCTTTTTTTTTTTATTTCCCGCTCTTTTCCCTTTGGTTTCCCGGATGGTCTTTGCTTTTTTTTGGCCACTTTCGTATTTTTGCGTGTTTCTCGACTCCCCAGTTCTTTGTCTTTTTTTTTATCATTTTTTCCCTTCTTTTCCCCTCTTTTTTTTTTTTTTTTTTTTTTTTTTTTTTTCAATTTTTTTTTTTTTTTTTTTTTTTTTTTTTTCTTTTTTTCTTTTTTCTTTCTTCTATTTCTTTTTTCATTTTTTTCTTTTTTTCTTCTTTTTTATTTCTTCTTTTTTTCCCCTTCTTTTCATTTTTCTTTTTTCCTTCTTCTTTTCATTTTTTTTTTCTTTTCCCTTCTTCTTTTTATTCTTTCTTTTTTCTTCTTTTTTTTTCTTTTTTTTTCTTTTCATTTTTTCTTTTTTTTTTCTTTTCCTTCTTCTTTTTTTTCTTCTTTTCCCTTCTTCTTTCCCTTTTTCTTTTTCCCTTTTTCTTTTTATTTTTTTTTTCCCCTTTTTTCTTCTTCTTTTTTTTTTTCCTTCTTTTTATTTTTTCTTTCTTTTTTTCCCCTTTTTCCTTTTTTTCCCTTTTTTCTTTTTTTCCTTTTTTTCTTTTTATTCTTCTTCTTCTTTTCCCTTTTTTTCTTTTTTTCTTCTTTTTCCTTTTTTTCTTCTTCTTCTTTTCATTCTTTTTCTTCTTTTTTTCATTTTTTTCCTTCTTCTTTTTCTTTTCATTTTTTTTTTTCCTTCTTCTTCTTCTTTTCATTCTTTTTTCTTTTTTTCTTCTTCCTTCCCCTTCTTCCCTTTTAATTCTTTTTTCCCCTTTTATTTTTCTTCCTTTTTTTTTTCTTTCATTTTTTCTTTCCCCCCTTCCGGGATTTTTTAATTCTTCCTTTTTTTTTAAACACTTTTTTCCTTTAAAAATTTTAAAAAGTTTAAAAACCACTTTTCTTTTTTTCAAAAATTTTTCCCGCTTCCCCCCGGGTCCCAAAAGAATTTTTAATGTTGCTATTCTAAGATGAGGGACCATTTATTTAATACGCAAATTTTTTTTTAAGGGGGAACCCCAAAGGGCAATTTTAAAAAGGGTTTTAATTTTAAAAGGCCCGGGGAAAACCTAAAATTTTTTTAAAAGTTAATAAAAAAGGGCGGAAAAAACGGCCCCGGAATAAATTTCTCCCCCCAAAAAACGGGAACTGGGTCAAATTTTTAAAATTTTTATTTTAATTAAGGCCCGGATTAAGGTTTAAATCACAATTTGAAAAAATAAGGGTCAGGTCAGGTTGAAGGGCTTTTGGATGGAGGTTTGGGGAACGTTTCACTTACCAACCTTGCCTGTTCATTGAAGATATTGTCCTGCAAACATGGGGTCTCCATGTCATCAACATAGTACCGTCGCCTGGGATTTTTTGTTTGTTCCTGTCCATCTTGTGTGTTCCTACTCCTGTTAAATTCTCCACGGTATAAAATTAATGCAAAATGCAGCTGGGATGGTGGGAACCCCTCATAATAGACAAGGCAGATGTGCAGACCTAGGAATTTACCAAAGGAAATCCAATGAAAAAAATAACCAGGTTGGTTCAACTCTCCAACGTCTACCAAATACTGCAATATCAATTTTGTGGTGGACTGACCCTTTACTAATAATCCTTTCCTCTAGATTTATTTGCGATTTTTGGACTACCAAATGGAACATTCCATGAGTTGCAAGCGCAACTTTGTGGCTGGTCTATGATGGAAGCAGCTCCATAGAGAACCTCAAAGCCAATTCTGTAGCACTGTGGCCAATGACGTCATGCTGCAGACAGGAACGGGGGGGGTTACGGATGTGGGCAGATGAAGGGAGCCGACTCAGCAGATTCCGAATGCTCTTTACATCGTTTGTGGAACGTGAGTATGCTGGATATAATTTCATATGGTGGAATGATTACACCTCTGATTACTTACATACTCTACAAGTCCAAAAGCATGTGGTCACTCCAAAGTATTGAGTTTAGGTGCAGGAACTCTCCTTTAGAGTCATCCCTTTCTCCACCCCCTACTCACCTCTGAGCACTGGCCTTTGGTTCCGAAGTCTACCCACCTCCCAGTACCTCCCCTTTTAGTTAAAACAGAACCGACTATCATTTTGTGGTGCTACATAATATGTATGGAATTTGATGATAATAACAAGAAAAACAGTAAAATAGATCCCTTGCAGCCAGCAACAATAGATCCCTCCCTACAACTATAGATCCCCCTTTAACAATAGATTCCTCCCTGCAACTATAGATCCCCACCAAAAATAGATTTATCCCTGCAAATATAGATCCCCCAGCAACAATAGATCCCTCCTTCTAACTATAGTTTTCCCCAGCAGATCCCTCCCAACAACTATAGATCCCCACAGCAAAAATAGACCCCCCTGCAGCAATACACCATCCCCTAGCAACAATAGACAATATCCTCAGCAACAATAGATTCTTCCCAGCAACAATTGACCCCCACAGCCACATTAGATCCCCACCAGCAACAATAGATCCCACAGCAGCCTGCATCAGTAGACCCTTCAACAACGCTTGCCATTATATACAGTGCTGGAGGTGCAGAACCGCATTCCTTCTGAAAAAAAAGCCCTGACTGTACTTCTGGGCACAAAGCCAGTTCCATAAAGACATCTTTGGAATGAATTGTGAGCCAGGTCTTCTCACCCAACATCAGTACCTGACCTCGCAAATGCTCTTTTTGGCTCTATAGACACAACTTCCCACAAGCACACTCCAAAATGTAGTTGAAAGCCTTCCCAGCAGGGCCAGATCTAGGGGGGTGCTGGGGGTGGTCTGTGCCCCCAGATTTTAGCTGTTCCCCCTTCCAGGTTTCTGAAAGTGCATCCAATTATCCATGAGCCAGTCTGATGCAGTTAATGTAAGGAGACACTCTGATGGTAACAATCCATATAAGGGGTACTCTGATTCAGACACCTGATATAAGGGGCACTCTGATGTAAGGAGGCACTCTGATGGGGACACCTGATGTAAGGAGGCACCCTGATGGGGACACCTGATGTAAGAGGGCACCCTGATGGGGACACCTGATGTAAGAGGGCACTCTGATGGGGACACCTGATGTAAGGGGGCACCCTGATGGGGACACCTGATGTAAGGGGGCACCCTGATGGGGACACCTGATGTAAGAGGGCACTCTGATGTAAGGGGGACTCTGATGGGAACTTGATGCAAGGGGGCACTCTGATGGGAACTTGATGCAAGGGGGCACTCTGATGGGAACCTGTTATAAAGGGGGACTCTGATCGGGCAATCTGATATAAGGGGTACCTGCCAAATCTGCCAAAAATGGATCATTCTATGCAGCCACACCAAAGGATTAGAGGTGCCACTCCAGACTCCAATCTGTCCAAATCCAGTAACTCCCACTGAGGGTGCAGGCTAGGGGGGAACCCATCTCAGCTTGATGAATGCAGTATGAAGGAGGAACACCCCAGGTTGCACACACTAGCAAAGTCCAACTCTGGTAAAAACATCCTCAACCCAGGCTGTGTCCAGACCATGCCCAACACATTTTGCTCCACCCACATGGCTATGTCATGGAGGTCCTGGGCAGGACGAAACACGTTGAGGTTATGGCTTGCACGGAGCTTGGGTTGAGACTGCTTTTACTATAGAGACTGTTGGGCTTTTTTGGTCGGCTGTTCCTCCTTTATATTACATTCTGTGCAGCCAGTTTTATAGCAAGGCCTGGTTCTAGACCTCCAATTGGAGAGAAAGAGACAGAGCAGAGGAGGAATGCAGGAAAGGTGGGTTGGGGGCAGGCGCGGACTGACAATTAATGGGGACCCTGGGCAATAGGGGATCATGGGACCCCTGTGTCCTTGCCCAAACTCAAAAAAGCCTATGAAAAAGGTACCAGGGGCATCTCATGGGGCCCCCTACTGACCCCGGGCCCTCGGACAGTGCCCAAGTTTCCAAATGGTCAGTCTGCCCCTGGTTGGGGGAGGGGGTGTGAACGTTCAAGAAAACTAGTCACTGTGTTCAGAATGATCAAAATGACTTATACTGTATAGTAGTATGGATATACTCAAGCACAGCAAATGTTTTGATGTTGGCATGCAGCTGAGAACAATTTGGGAAGCACTGTATTACATTGTACTTTACAGGTTTCTTGATGTCTTTGCAGCTCCGTGTGGGGAAAACACTTTCTTCTGTCACAGTAACATGTGCATTAACAACTCCTTGGTCTGCAATGGCATACAGAACTGTGCCTACCCCTGGGATGAAAACCACTGCAGAGGTGAGAGGCTGGGATCACGTGCTGGACTTTATAGACAAGGATGTTCCGGAGGGGAAATGTCGCTTCACTTAATGTCCGGGAGATGCAATAGGAAGTGAGAGAAAGTTTCTGCAAAACTGATCAGAATTCCTCTATTAGTCAGGTTTCACTAAAACTGGTATTCCCTAGATGTTTTGGTTACGATGGCCACCATGAGAAATAGAGAGGGTGAACTTCTTCAGAGAGGAGAACCTGACAACAAAGTCCAAAACTCTCAGGTTGAAATTTTTTCTTAAACACAGGTATTTCAGAAAGTCCCTCCATTGTCACTATGCAGGCTACTATCAAGGTCCGTAACTTCACCCCTCTAAATCAGTAATGGGCTGGCCTAGGAAGAACTGGAGTGGCTGCAGAGGCAATCACTCCATGAATCCTGGCTCTTTCATGTACACCCCACTGTCAGCGATCATTACCCAGGAAAATGACCACCCCAACCCTCCCACTGAGCACCACGGTTTGTGAGAAGATACTGTTGGACTTTATAGATAAGGATATCCTTGCAAGGAATTTTCACTTCCTGTCTGGAAGATGCAACAGGAAGTAAGAGAACATTTCAGAATACTGATGACCCCCCTTATTGTTAGGTGTCCCCGAAACAGGTGTCTCGGTGACAATGGTCACCAGGACAAATATAGAAGGGGATTCTCCCTAGAGGGGCCACAGACAGTTGAAAAAACTTTCCACATTTCTATCCAAAAATTAAAAAGAGGTTTTGCCTTTAGATACGTCTCTGTCAGGAGTCAAAACCAGTAGCTATAAGCAGTAGAGAGGCTTCCATCGACTAGCTGGATAAGCGAGCAAGCAGGTCACCCTGGCAGACGACACGGGTTCACCCGAAGTATGGGGTCTAAATACTAACCTGTGTTAACCAGAGCTCCTGATGGTGGAGATGGGTTCTGCTGTGTGTTAGTACCAGTTTGTGGTCCTCATGATCGCCCCACCAGGAGATGAGCAAGCTGGGGTTCAGTAGCAGATACGTATAGCAGGTTGGGCTCAAGCAGAAGCGTAGTCAGTAGACAAGCCAAAGGTCAGTAACAAGTTGTTGCAGGTTTGGATGAAGCGGAAGCGTAGTCAGTAGACAAGCCAAAGGTCAGTAACAAGTGGTTGCAGGTTTGGATCAAGTGGAAGCGTAGTCAGTAGACAAGCCAAAGGTTAGTAACAAGTGGTTGCAGGTTTGGATCAAGTGGAAGCGTAGTCAGTAGACAAGCCAAAGGTCAGTAACAAGTGGTTGCAGGTTTGGATCAAGCGGAAGCGTAGTCAGTAGACAAGCCAAAGGTCAGTAACAAGTGGTCGCAGGTTTGGATCAAGCGGAAGAGTAGTCAGTAGACAAGCCAAAGGTCAGTAACAAGTGGTTGCAGGTTTGGATCAAGCGGAAGAGTAGTCAGTAGACAAGCCAAAGGTCAGTAACAAGTGGTTGCAGGTTTGGATCAAGCGGAAGAGTAGTCAGTAGACAAGCCAAAGGTCAGTAACAAGTGGTTGCAGGTTTGGATCAAGCGGAAGCGTAGTCAGTAGACAAGCCAAAGGTCAGTAACAAGTGGTTGCAGGTTTGGATGAAGTGGAAGCGTAGTCAGTAGACAAGCCAAAGGTCAGTAACAAGTGGTTGCAGGTTTGGATCAAGCGGAAGAGTAGTCAGTAGACAAGCCAAAGGTCAGTAACAAGTGGTTGCAGGTTTGGATCAAGTGGAAGCGTAGTCAGTAGACAAGCCAAAGGTCAGTAACAAGTGGTTGCAGGTTTGGATCAAGTGGAAGCGTAGTCAGTAGACAAGCCAAAGTTCAGTAACAAGTGGTTGCAGGTTTGGATCAAGTGGAAGCGTAGTCCGTAGACAAGCCAAAGGTAAGTAACAAGTGGTTGCAGGTTTGGATCAAGTGGAAGCGTAGTCAGTAGACAAGCCAAAGGTCAGTAACAAGTGGTTGTAGGTTTGGGTCAAACAGAAGCGTAGTCGAGGAACAAGCCAAAGGTTTGTGGGGAGCCAAAGAAATTAGAAGAGCGAGATATTTGCTGAAGAGAGCACAAAAATCTGACAAACAGAGACGTGGCTTAAATCAGGAAGTTCACAGGAGGAGCAAAGAGTTCAAGGTTCGTGAGAAACAAGACATAAGGCCAGGTTGTCTAAGACTGAGAAGCAATCAGGCAGGGAGCTGTTCAGCATCTCAGGTGGTTTAACGAGAATAGTTACTGCCAAACACAGCAGAGGTCCCGGGTTCAGATCCAGGCCCTTTGCATAGACAGGATATTTAGGTGTGCACAGGACACTTGTTGTATAGCTGCAACTGAAGGGCTTTTGTCTGAAATGCATTAGCAGCCTTATACCTGTTTTTTGTGATTAAAATGAGATTTTTATCCTGCAAGAGCAGGTTGACAGTTGTTATTCGGTAGATATTGCAGAAGAGTGGGAAGAAGGACCTGAATGAGAAAAGGTAATGAAATAGTCTCTGCGTCATCCAAAGAAGGAGCAGCTATAAAGAGAACATCTAATGACAGTTTGCATTACCCAAAGTGGACATCAATTTGGCATGACCTCTGCAATGCTGTAGCTCCCAACCAATAATGACATAACCAGTGAGCCACACAATACTGTATATGCTTTCATTGTTAGTCTGCTGTGTTCAGACCAACTGACACAGCCTCCTTGGTGGCACTGTTGCTCATAAATCATGGACCCAGACTGCTCCTTTGCATACCTGTCTTGGTTCTCATGACAGTTTTAAAGAGCAATGCAATTAATAAATGTCTAAAATACTTGTATTATGCAACATGAAATGATAGCCTTTGTGTATGGCTCCTGAGTGCCTACTACTGGACAGATATATGTATTATTCTTTGTTCTGCTACTGATAGTACTTTAAAATAACATACATGCAGACATATCAGGAATCTATTATAGATATAACTGATGATAAAGTTCGGAATTCTCAACTTGAAGGGAGTATTTTCCAAAACACAGTGTGATGTTTGGGAGTTGTTTAGGCCAAATGTACCGCTTACCAGTGAGTCCAGTCCATGCCAGATATGCCTTTTAAAAGCTTTTCGGCCAACTTTTATTGGAAAAAAGAAGGAAAATGTTCACAGCAGTCAGCTGCCCTAGTGGGGGTTTCCACCATCAACACAAAGTAAAGTAATATAATTGTATATAGTGCAGCGCTATAAATATATATATATCTGTCAATTCATATAAATATTTGTGCAAAATACTTAAAGTGCTATTCAGTGCAATACGTGCAAAAAGTGAATAAATAAATGTCCATATATATCCTTTCAATTTCATCGGTAAAGAAAATGAGCACAAATAGTCCTCAAATTAAAACAAAATATATCCATGTGAACAAAGTGCAGATGTGTGCATATCCTTGGAGGTAATCCACCACCTCTGATGGGTGTACACTCACCAGAAATTAGATGTATACAAGCTTTGGTTGCAATCTGTCACATATGGGTACAGGAACAGAGAAGCAGCCTAGGGGTTAATCCTCCAGCATCCTTTGAGTACCGGTGGTGCGAGTAACCATTTTCCTGGGGGGAGATAGCTCAACCACAGGAGCCATAAAAGCTAATATTGTGTAATATTTATTGGTTAAATATCGATATGCATATACAGAAACGATCCACATGGAGTAAAGTGTAAAACAGGTACCAAAATGGCCGACGCTCCCTTCCTTGGTGGTGGCGGCGTGACGTCAGCAATGTAGGCTTCACCCAACGCGTTTCGTGCATTGGTTTTACGCAAAGCAGCCTCAATCCTCCTCTTCTCGGGTCCCCCGTTGGCCCTCCTGGCACCTCCCCCCTGCCAACTGCCCCTACAGCAAGCAGCTTGCTATAGGGGCACCCGAGCGGGCTTGTTCCTGAGTCGCTGCTCTATATGTCCATTCACACACAGCCACGGCTCTGCCCCGGTCCTAACCCCCGCTATCTCCTTATTGAATCACTGGCTATGATTGACAGTAGAGGGAGCTAATGGTTCCCGCTGCTTTCTCAGCCAACCTTGAGCCTTTACAACCACTTTAAATGTGACTAGCTGAATAAAAGGCTGCTTCATTACTTAGACAGAATAAATTGGAGTCTTTAGATCAGGATTTCTCAACTAGGGTTCCTCCAGAGGTTGCTAGGGGTTCCTTGAGCAATATACAACTCTTAGATAGGTTCCTGCTGACACCATTGATATTTTTAGCTATCTATAAGGGGGTAATTCTTCCCAATGACCACAAGTGTAAGGAATATTCTTCCCAGTGACCATCACATGAATGTAGCATGAGCTGTAGATATAGTCATTTTTAGCAGGGGTTCCCCGAGACCAAAAAGTCATTTCAAGGGTTCCTCTGTGTTGAAAAGATTTAGATCCTGTAAGGCAGTCTTTCAAGGTTTTCTCTGTTGAAAAGGTTGAGAAACAATTTTTCAGTCCTCGGGAACCCCAGCTAAAAATTACTATATCTGCAACTCTTGATACATTAGTGGGATGGTCAATGGGAAGAATGCTCCTTCCATTTGTGGTCATTGGGAAGAATTACCCCCTTACAGAAAGATCAATGGTGTCAGTGGGAACTTATCTGAGAGGCAGAAATTGCTCCTTGCTCAAGGAATCCCTAGCAACCTTTGGAGGAGCCCTAGGGTTCCTTTGAATCCTGACTGAGAAATTCCTGCTCCTAGGAAGATACAAAAACATACATATGTTAATGACTAGACTTTGTGCATCTTTGTCAAAGTGCTTAATTTCTTTTTTTGTTTGTTTTAGAAAGAAAAGAAGCTGGACTGTTTGAGCAAATTACCAAGACCCATGGGACCATTATTGGGATAACCTCTGGAATTGTCTTGGTCCTTCTCATCATTTCCATTCTGGTCCAAGTCAAACAGCCCCGTAAAAAGATCATGGCCAGGAAGACCACATTCAACAAAACTGGTTTCCAAGAGGTTTTTGACCCGCCTCACTATGAGCTCTTCTCCCTCAGGGACAAAGAGATTTCTGCCGATTTGGCCGACTTGTCCGAAGAACTGGAGAACTACCAAAAAACGAGGCGCTCCTCTGCCACTTCTCGGTGTATTCACGATCATCACTGTGGTTCACAAACGGCCACTCTGAAACACAGCCGGACCAACCTGAGCTCCATGGAACTTCCATTTCGCAATGATTTTGCCCAGCCGCAGCCCATGAAGACATTTAACAGTACCTTCAAGAAAAGCACGTACGCATTTAAACAGTCCCACGACTGTGCCGACAAAGGCATCGAAGACCGGGTCATGGAGGAGATCCCTTGTGAAATTTACGCACGAGGTCGAGAAGAATGTGCTCAGGGTTCAATATCAATTGACTTTTAACCTCTTCACAGAATTAAAAAAAAAAATGAAGGTTTCGTTAAATACAATGGGATCTATTTTTGAGACAATCCTCAACAAAATTACAGAGTTTTTTCTAGAGACTTGAAGTTGAGACTCATCAAGGTGTGAAGAATTGTAACATAAAACTCTCTATTTTTCGAGCAGGGATCACGATACGATGAGCGTTTGCATGTCATCGATAATCTGTATTATTAGGATTCTATATAAACTGCACTCACTGGTTCCAGAAGACACATGGATTGAAGTCATCAATATGAATTGTTTGTACTTTTTTTTTGTTTGTTTGGCCTTTATATTTTTACACTCAGTAGAAGTTTTGTTTACCTTCCAACAAAAATAAAATGCTCTAGGATTACACATGGTGCTAAAGAAGTTGAAACACTGTCTAAAATATATTTAGTTACTCATTGCCAAGAAGCTCACAATCTACCCATCTTGTTTATTGTACTCAAACCAATTGGCCCATTTGGAGGTTGATGAGTGACACGCAACTGTCAAAGGAAAATTGGAGTAAAACAAATCTATATTTTTGAGGAACTGTACTGAACATGTAGAAAACTGTATAAGAAATGTAAGTCGATCTGTCACTCGTATTCTGTATTGATATTCACATACTTACCAAACTCAAAAAATTTCAAAATGTAATATTTTAGGCCCCATACTGTTCACTCCAATCCTCGCACGACACTAAACAGGTTCACATACAATCCCCAAAAATATTGGTTGGCTGACAAAAGAGCATCCACTCTCCAACAGTGACAGGTTCAAGAAAAATTTAAATAAATCTATATATATATTTCAATATTTCTTTTTTTGGGGGGGTCGGTGGGGCAATAAAAAAAATTCAAAGTCTTGTGATTTTTTTTTTTTTTTTTTTTTAAGAAACATCTACAATGAAATCTATTTACAATAAAAACATATCATATGTGATTTGTATAAAAAAAAATAAACATTTATTTGACCACAACATGAGTGCATTTTTTTTAGAGCAAAACTAAATTAAATGAATAAAATAGTATAATTATTTATATTTTAATTTATAATATTTTTCATTTGAAAGGCAAGAAAATGTAGAATAGAAAAATATAGACTAGACCAGTGCTCTCCAAACTGCAGCCTGAGGGCCAGATGTGGCCCTTGCCTTGACTTTGTCTGGCCCTTGCAGCACTATTTCTCCCACTGAGACACCAATGATGTTGCACTATTCCTCCCACTGACACCAGTGATGGGGGACTATTCCTCCCACTGACACCAGTGATGGGGGACTATTCCTCCCACTGACACCAGTGATGGGGGACTATTCCTCCCACTGACACCAGTGATGGGGGACTATTCCTCCCACTGACACCAGTGATGGGGGACTATTCCTCCCACTGACACCAGTGATGGGGGACTATTCCTCCTATCCCATTGACACCAATGATGGGGCACTATTCCTCCTACTAACACCAGGGATGGGACACTATTCCTCCCACTGATACCAATGATGGGGCACTATTCCTCCCACTGACACCAATGATAGAGCACTATTCCTCCCATTGACACCAGTGATGGGACACTATTCCTCCCTCTGACACCCATGATGGGGCACTGTTCCTCCCACTGACACCAAAGATGGGGTATTATTCCTCCCACTAACACCAGGGATGGGGCACTATTCCTTCCACTGACACCAATGATAGAGCACTATTCCTCCCACTGACACTAGTGATGGGACACTATTCTTTCCTCTGACACCCATGATGGGGCACTATTCCTCCCTGACATCAATGATGGGACACTATTCCTCCCACAGACATCAAAGATGGGCACACTATTCTTCCTATTGACACCAATGATGGGGCAGTATTCCTCCCACTGATACCAATGATGGGGCACTATTCCTCCCACTGATACCAATGATGGGGCACTATTCCTCCCACTGATACCAATGATGGGGCACTATTCCTCCCACTGACACCAGTGATGGGGCACTATACTCCTACTGACACTAATGATGGGGCACTATTCTTCATACTGACACCAATGATAAGGTATTATTCTTCCCACTGACACCAGTGATGGGGCACTATTCCTCCTATTGACACCAATAATGGGGGACTATTCCTCCTGCTGACACTAATGATGGGGCACTATTCTTCATACTGGCAGCAATGATGGGGTATTATTCTTCCCACTGACACCAGTGATGGGGCATTATTCTTCCCACTGACACCAATGATGGGGCACAGTGATGGGGCATTATTCTATTCCTCCCCCTGACACCCATGATGGGTACTATTCCTCCCACTGACACCAATGATGGGACACTATTCCTTCCACTGACCACAGCAATGGTTCACTGTTCCTGCCACTTATACCAGTGATAGGTCACTATTCTTCCTCTTGTTGACCTCAGGCATTATGTCATTTTTTAAATCCCACTGACTATCAATCCTGAGACATTATGGACTCCCACTGTTGGTGGGGCATTTTCGACTCCCACTGGCCACAAATCAGACCTTTCTAAAGTCTGAAAGACTTTAAAGTGGCCCATTATTTAGGGAATTTGGAGGCCCTGGGACTAGACTATAAAACTGGGAGAGGAAGAGGATACATTTGCAGCCCTCCCCAAGAAAAACAATATGCTAAAAAAAAGAAAAAGAGAATAATAGGCAAAAATAAAACATGTATTATTACAGTTTGGCAGGTTGATGGCTTAATTTAAAAAAATGGGCCACATTTTTTAGAATTACAACAGCAAAAAAAAAAAAAAAAAAAAGAAAGCTACAAACAATTTAGTTCTAGAAAAGAAGTGAAGTTTCCTCATTATCCCAGTTTTGTAAGTCATTTTTTAGTGCGCACGTTAGCTCTGCTCCTATTAAAATCGTAAGTGGCAATTAAAATCACACTTTTACTGGTTCCATCTGGCTCTGTTGGAAAAAAAAAATCTAAAATGTTTGCCTTTAATTACCTTTTTCATCAACCTTGCGCCTGTAAAAAAAAAAAAGTGAAATTAAGATTGCTTTTCAGCTTATTTACAGCTAAACATTTTCTGCCAGTGAACTTAACAATAAAACAGACAAATCCAGGACATGATGGAGGGACCCGGTCTAAAATTAACAAAAAAAAATAGTTATGCTGAAAAAAAAAATGTATTCTTTGCAGCAAGTCCTTGGTCCTCTCAGCAAACCCATGGAATGTGAAAGAGTTTCCTTAGGATTGAGATTCCCATTCCCTGGGGCATCAATTATTTCCCTTGAAAAATCTCCACTCTGTCTCCTGAAATAAACCTGACCTGTGTAGGAAATCCAAAGGTGCTCAATTATACCGTGTTGCTTCTACACAAAGAAAAGGTGCCAAAGGCAGCTCCTGTGATATAATAAATATGTTTTTAGATGAAAAAAATAAAAATGACCCTTTTATTAGAATCTGCAGTGGTGGGTCTTGACCTGATCCCTACCATCCGGCAACATGAGGCAGTTCCTTCTTTACCTGCTTGATGAGTTCAAAGACTTGAAGGTAGCAGCAATGTTTGATGTGTTTTGATTCCAGATAATTGTGTACATTTTTATATGAAGAGGAAGATAAGTATCATTGGGGTGCTCACCCTAATGCAATAGGCTGCACACACCTAAACTCAAACACACATGCGTGTGTATATGTATGTTTCTACACTATATTGCCAAAAGTATTGGGCCGCTGGCCTTTCCACACTCATGAACTTTAATGGCCCCCCAGTCTCAGTCCGTAGGGTTCAATATTGAGTTGGCCCCGCCCTTTCCACACACATGACCTTTAATGGCCCCCCAGTTTTAGTCCGTAGGGTTCAATATTGAGTTGGCCCCACCCTTTCCACACACATGACCTTTAATGGCCCCCCAGTCTTAGTCCATAGGGTTCAATATTGAGTTGGCCCCGCCCTTTGCAGCTATAACAGCTTCAACTCTTCTGGGAAGGCCGTCCACAAGGTTTAGGAGGGTGTCTATGGAAAGGTTGGACCATTCTTCCAGAAGCACATTTGTCAGGTCAGGCACTGATGTTGGGGGAGGAGGCCTGGCTCGCAGTCTCCGCTCTAATTCATCCCAAAGGTGTTCTATGGGGTTGAGGTCAGGACTCTGTGCAGTCCAGTCAAGTTCCTCCACCCCAAACTGGCTCCTCCATGTCTTTATGGACCTTGCTTTGTGCACTGGTGGGCAGTCATGTTGGAACAGGAAGGGGCCATCCCCAAACTCTTTCCACAAAGTTGGGAGCATATAATTGTCCAAAATGTCTTGGTATGCTGATGCCTTAAGAGTTCCCTTCACTGGAACTAGGGGACCAAGTCCCACTCCTGAAAAACAACCCCACACCACAATCCCCCCTCAACAAAATTTTACACTTGGAACAAGGCAGTCAGGTAAGTACCGTTCTCCTGGCAACCACCAAACCCAGACACGTCCATTGGTTTGCCAGACAGAGAAGTGTGATTGGTCCCTCCAGAGAACACATCTCCACTGCTCTAGAGTCCAGTGGCGGCGTGTTTTACACCACGGCATCCGACTCTTTGCATTGCACTTGGTGATGGAAGGCTTGGATGCAGCTGCTCGGCCATGGAAACCCATTCCATGAAGCTCTCTACGCACTGTTGTTGTGCTCATCTGAAGGCCACACCAAGTTTGGAGGTCTTTAGCTATTGACTCTGCAGACAGTTGGCGACTTCTGCGCACTGTGTGCTTCAGCATGCACTGACTCCACTCTGTCATGTGACGTGGCCTACCACTTGGTGGCTGAGTGGCTGTTGTTCCCAGTTGCTTCCACTTTGTTATAATCCCACTAACAGTTGAGCGTGGAATATTTAGTAGCCAGGAAATGTCCCGGATGGACTTATTGCACAGGTGGCCACCTATCACGGGACCACACTTGGAGTCACTGAGCTCCTGAGAGCGACCCATTCTTTCACCAATGTTTGTAGAAGCAGTCTGCATGCCTAGGGGCTTGATTGTATACACCTGTGTCCA